TTTTTTTCATCGCAATTTTTTCTATGCTCCTCTCAACGTGCTTATCTCAATATATAAAAATCCCGTGTCGCTGTGTTCGTTTACGCTAATCTCCGAAACCGCTTAACTGATTTCAATGAAATTTTGTTCGTGGGTATTGTTGGTTCCAACTTAAAAGGTAGGATATTTTTTAACCCGAGAAAAAATGTTTTTTTTTCGAAATATTGACGTAGAATACGTCTTACGTTTCGATATGGGGACTGTGGTGAAATGTTGTAGTTGTAATTTTTAAAGTTTCACGAAAACGCTTATTGCACGAGAACTGATGAAGCGATTTCAAAGAAAAGTGTGGCGTTTCAAAGATAAAATTCCCAACCTATCGACAGATTCATTTTTGTAAGTAACCAATTCGGTTTCTGTCGTAAAAAGAACGGTAAACATTGGCTTATTTTGGGCCAATTTTGTCTCTGTGCGTAGGCAACTGGCTGAGTCAGTGGTGATCGTCGGTTCGAATCCTACTGCAAGAAGTCTGATGAGGAAATGTGGTGATTTCCGAAATAGCTATCACTTCTACCATTTTTTCAAATTATTGTTGCTTTTCCACAATAAGGTTTCACTAAAAACGGCCTCGAGCTCATAAAAATTGTTGAATATAATTGTTATAAGGCCATAAAAATAACAAAAACAAATAACTTAAGGACGAGCTCACCTAAAAAGTTAAACATTCTAATAATAGAAATATTAACAAAAACCAACAAAACCAACAACCACATGATCAAGTGAATTGCAGCGGAATAGCTGCGCTAGATTGTAGTTGGCTTAGCAAAGTGAAATAGTGGAAATAAGCAACAAGAATTAACAAGGCAAACTTAGCACAGTGCGTAGGCAACTGGCTGAGTCAGTGGTGATCGTCGGTTCGAATCCTACTGAAAGAAGTCTGATGAGGAAATGTGGTGATTTCCGAAATAGCTATCACTTCTACCATTTTTTCAAATTATTGTCGCTTTTCCACAATAAGGTTTCACTAAAAACGGCCTCGAGCTCATAAAAATTGTAGAATATATTTGTTTTTTTAATAAAAAATTCAAGAGTTTTCCTTTCGTTTGGTATATGGGAAGTTTTGGTTGATATCTTCTAAGTATGTTTATTTGATTCAAATATATGATTTCCCATACAAAATCACTTCGTCATCGGTTTGCAAACACGTGCATGCGTTGGAAGTGAGGAAAGGAGACAAAAAATATGTGTGTGTGCGTAAGTACATATTTTGGCTTTTGATAAACAGGTGGCGCAATATTTATAGCCTAATCGCAGCGTATGTACATATGTAAATACATACATTCAATTTCAATTTCAATTTATTCAAATAATAAATTATCTAGAAATATTCAGTATTTCTTACAGATTATGTACTTAGAACTAACTACAGAGTGTCTTATAGCTAAGAGTTACGCTAATAATTCATTTAATAATGATTTAAAGCTAAGCTTGGAGGAAGAAAAATCGATAGCCAAATAATTTGAAATGGAATTAAATTCTTTCAAAGCTCTCAAAATAGGAGCATGAGATGCATATGTAGTTCTAACCCGTTCTACAAAGAACAGGTCACTACTCCGAAAGCTTCTTTGAGGAATATGAAAATAAATGCGCTCAAGAAGGAAAGGAGAGTTAGTCACTCCACTTACTATGTCAAACACAAAGGAGAGCGAAAGGATAATCCTTCTACTATGCAAAGATTTTAAATTAATTAGTAAGCACCTAGCACTATAAGAAGGCATCGGATACTCGAACTTCAAAGACCTAAGAGCAAAACGAACAAAATTCTTTTGAACGCGTTCAAGCCTCTTAATATGGCAATCGTGATACGGTCTCCATATAAAGACTGCATATTCAAGCTTAGACCGAACGAGCGCAGTGTATAGTAATTTTAAGGGATCAGTAAAGTCTGACCCAAACCGTCGAATGAAGGCTAGTATAGAATAAGACTTGGCAATAATGTGATTTAAATGGCTGTGAAACAAAAATTTAGAGTCAAAAATAACTCCAAGATCTGCAATTTCGCCAAGAGTAGTCAGGCGTGCGTTACCAATAAAATAAGAGGTAGATATTACTGACCGCGATTTTGAGAAAGATACGTGAAAGCATTTATTAGA